TGAGTGCAGAGGACACTTAAGCTCTAAATGTGTGAACCTTCCTCTTTTATTCAAAAGAGTAGGAAGCAGGGTCTTAGATGTCACTTAGGTCATGTCTTCTCTTCTGTCACATGTTTCCCTGCTCCCCAAACCCTGTGAGATTTCATCTCTATGTTTTACACTCTGTTTATTTTAAAGCTTGTCAGATATACGACCTCACAGGCAAGCCTAGATGTTGATAGTTCTCTCCTCTGCACTTGTCCTTTGGGTGGATGTGGGGCCCAGCAGTTTAGCAGAGGGTGAGTGGGGAAGAACAGGTAGGCTTGCAGCATTGCCAGGGGTCTGCTGCTTTTGTTCATTTGTACGTGGACCTGAGTTGGCTCGAGGCAGTGTTGAAAATGAGGCATAAGATTTTATTTCAAAAAGAAAAAAAAATACAGACATTTATCTAAATGTCATGAATAGATCTAAAGAACCATATTAATGCATTTGTGTCTTTTCACAATAAATTTACAAAGTGTGGTGGGTTTGTTGGCAACAATTTGCCAAGTAGTTCCTCTTTCCTTGACAGCTGCCTACACAGATGCAAGTTCTTATATTCTAATCTTAATTACTAATAGTAACACTCAGATCACATATCACACTGTGAATCTATAATCTATAATCTATCTATCTATCTATCTATCTATCTATCCCATCCATCCATCCATCCATCCATCCATCCATCTACCTATCCACATATAATCTACATATACATATAATGTATGTCTATCTATCATCTGTCTTTATCATCTATATCATCTATCTATATCTATCAATTGTCTCTCTGTTACAGATGGCTGAAAGAGTCAAAAGGCTACTGAAGAGTTAAAATTTAAAAGCAAATCTGAGAGTCTGAAGGTTGGAAATGGATACATATGTAAAGTCTCTTTAGAAATAAGGCTGCGGCTCTGCTGGGAACATTGTGCCTATCACTGCTGCAAAGTCAGGATGCAGGGTCAGAGCTGAACATCAGAAACAAGGTGTGGCACCATCGAAGTTATAGAAGCAAAGAGCAGGAGCTGGTCCGGATGAGGGGACAGACAAACAGAACGATGGCAGACCTAGTTGGATGGGTTACAATCCAGGTAGGCTGTGCCAACAGCAGGATTGTGCTGAGCTGAAGCTCCAGGGACAGTCAGGAGATCTCTGGCTGTCAGTACTTTGACACATGTCCTAGATAGTCACATGAAAGGTTGGTGGGGCCACTGCCATTGTGGCACTAGGTGTCTTCCCTGTTATGGACCTCATGAAGGAGTGGTAATAATCTTTCCTCGGTTTGATGTGTCTATCAAGTTCTCGGGCCTTTATATGATTTTTTTATTACCCGTGTTCCTATAGCTCCAATTTATTTTGATAAATGTATAGGGTGGCGGCGGCACCTTTCACACTTTTAAGGCTTATCCGTCTGTGCCTTGTGGGTGGTGCTAGAATGGTGGTATTGTTTATATGCCCCTCAAGGTAAAGACTCACCCTACTTCTATACCTGCTTATAAAATAGGGATTCTCAAAATAAGGCTTAGCCCATGAAAGCACTGTTTTGCACCACATGGAGTAATACAAGGTCTTAACAAATATTCCTTAATAATCGGAGTTTTCTGATACTGCTAGTGGAACTGTACAATCATCAGTCCCACTATGATGGATAACGTGCCAACATGACTGGGCTAGGGGATGCGCAGAGAGCTGGTAAGACATTAGTTCAGGCTGTGTTTGTGAGGGCATCATGGAAAGAATTAATGTTTGAGCCAGTAGTTTGAGGAAAGAGGATCTACCCTCATCCACTGTAGATGGCCCACACCCATTCCATTCAGAATCTGAAGAGAACCAGAGGCAGAGGAAGGGGAACCTGATTTCTCTTTTTGAGCTGGGACATCCACTATCAACACTCTTGCTTCTCACTTCTTCAGATTTAGCTTGAGAAACCACAGACTTCTCTGATAGCCAGGCTTTTGGACTTGAAGTATACGGCAAGCTTTCCCGGTTCTCCTGTGTGTGGAAAGCAGGTGGGACTTGCTTGTCTGCATAAGCACATGGGCTAGAATCTAGAATAAGTTCCTCATATGTTTATATTAGTTTTAGTTTTATGGAGCGCTCTGACTAATGCAATCTGGAAAGATAGGTAGCATTTTTCTTAAGTTTAAAAACATATCCAGATGTAGTGGCTCATGCCTGTAGAGCACTCAAGAGGCTGAGGCAGGAGAATGGTTGAGAATTCAAAGTCAGTCTGGGATAGATCTGAGTCCTAGATCAGTGTTATGTTAAGTTAAGTTAAGTGTTATGTACAGTTAAGTGTTATGAAATATAATGAGGTGAGAGGTACCTGGTGGGCCAATAACAAGGTTTGCCCCTGAGTAACTATAGCATGTGATAGATCTGGTATAAAGGGGGCTTACTGGGGAATGGAGAGGAGTGGGGACCTAGAGAAGAAGTATAGCCAGACAGACTGGAAGATGGAAAGAGGGAGAGAGAATGAACACTGGGCTGGCAGATAGTTCTTTCATATGCAGTCCACATCTGGGGTATCCAGTGGCAGCCAATGGTCCCTGAGATGCTAGGTCCCTGAGAGGAGCCTAGTAGAATCTCCTGTAAGCTAACAAAAAGATCCTGTGTCAAACTGTTAAAGAAAAGGGGAGAGGGGGCTGAAGAGATGGCTCAGCAGTTAAGAGCACAGGCTACTGTTCCAGAGGATATGGATTCAATTCCCAGCACCCATATATGGTGGCTCACAACCATCTGTAGATTCAGTTTCAGGGGACCTGATGCCCTCTTTCTGACACAGCCAGACATGCAGTGAAAACACCGTATACATAAAAGATTAAAACCCAGCACTTGGGAGGCAGAAGCAGACTGGTTTCTGTGAATTTTGGGCCAGCCTGTTCTACACAGTGAATTCCACGACAGCCATGGGTATGTAAAGAGATACAAAAAAAAATGTATAAACTAAAAAAACAAAACCCTACAAAAAGGTAAATATATACATACCTTGTTAAAGTAGGTATATTGGCCTACTAGTGACAACCTAAGCACAGCTGAGAAAGGCCTCAAAGAACTAATTGGCCTTGGGACGAATGAGGGCTGGATTTGTCCCACGTCTTTGTGAGTAGTTTGAGGTAATCTGGACAGCATATCTAACTCAAAGCGAGAGCAGGCTATACGGGCTGCCAAGGAAGCAAAAAAGGCTAAGCAGGCATCAAAGAAGACAGCAATGGCTGCTGCCAAGGCCCCCACAGAGGCAGCACCTAAACAAAAGATTGCGAAGCCTGTGAAGGCCTCTGCTCCCAGAGTTGGTGGGAAGCACTAATTTGGTAGATCAGAGTTTGAAATAAAGATCTGTCTTTAACTCTAAAAATAAAAAAATAAAAAATAAACTGTATTTGTTTTCTCAGCACTTAGCCATCCTAATGTTGCTCCTTTGAGTCTTTGGTGTGGGGATTTCACACTTACTCAGAAGAGTTCATCAGTCAAGCCTCAGCTGTGTGAATTCTCCACACGGCCAAGTGGATAATTTAGAGAGAAGAACAAGATCTCCAGATAACACCTTCAGAGGCCTTCCTCCTTTCTGCGCTGAAGTTGGGTTCTGTGAAGGCTGGTGCAGAGGACGTGGAGAGCATTTATCAAGGGGTTGTAAGAGCAGGGGAAAGTTTTTCAAAAGCCTTATTGCCCTATCTAGTGAGAAGGTCTGTTATGCAGTTTTAGGGGTGAAAGTCTATCTAAACACAATTCGTTTATGTAACTTGTCTTGGGGCTGGCTCCTTGTTCTTCCTCTTCTGATGCTGTTGGGTCGTTCTACCACATCTGCTGCAAGACTTACTGCCTCACTGCCTCCCCCCACACCCATATTCAACCAGCTCTGGACTCCCTGGGGCCATCTGCACAAAAACACACACTTCTTACATAATGGAAAAGTTATTTTAACTGCTTATGCTAAGTGGAGAAAACCATACTCTCCCATGACTACGTGGCTGACCTGCATGCCCTGATCTGTTTTGTCATAAGTGACTGGCCATGCAGCCCCACCTCCTCTCTACCTGTGAGACCCACATTAAGGATGGCACGCCACCCTATGTGGGACCTGGGTGAGAGTGGTGTGACAAGGGAGAGAAGAAGGGTGGGGTCTCTGGGCAAAGAGGCACAGGGGCTGCAACTGAGCAAACAGTTGGAGATGGGGGTAGTGGTTCCCATAGGTTCACACGGGGATGAGAAAGATGACGCAGCCTCCACATTACCCATGTTCCCCAGTCTCTTCCAGTTGTCCAAAGACTGAATACTTCCTGTTTCCAAGTCCTCAGAGTCAGTGCTTTGAGCTTTGGCAGGAACCTGATGTTTGGACTTCTTGCTGGGGTCTCTGGGAATGGATTTTCTTTTTCTTTTTGCTCTTTCCCACTGTTCTAACTCTGCCTTGTATGCAGCGTTCCATCAAGACTGAAGAGCCTGTGTCGTGCTGCAGAAACAAAACTAAGACACAAGTCAGGAGAAACTTGGGTACAAGTTTGAGTGGACTTTACATGGGCAGAGCCAGTAGAGACTAATATGACAGCTGCCCTTATCAATCTGTCCTCCTCTCTCTCCTGGTGTATTTTAATTACTGGACACAGGTAAAGCTTGGAACAGGAGGAGCAGGACACTTCCACACTACACTATTCACACCCTAGTGATTTTCTTCCATTCATTTCTTGCCTCCTGCCTCCAGTGAACTGGATTGTTGTCGGGTTGACTTCTCCCAGCTGTAGTCTGAAGACCAATTGAACACCAATCATGACACATTTTGAAAAGTCCCTGAGCTCAACAAGAAAAAAAGAATTAACAATTGAAAGCCCTGGCATTCCATCTGCAACCTGAAGGATGAAGGATGTAGCAGAAGCAACCTGAACCTGATGACAAGAGCCAATCAGAGACTCGGCCACAGGTGTGTGGAGGCAAGACAGTTAGATTTATTTCCTCTTTTCTAATTTGAGAGGTTTCATGTTGAAGAAAATCAGTATGTTGGGGTTACAGGAGGTCTAAACACAGTCACCATGAAGCTGAGCTGGATGCTCATAGAGTGGGCTCTTTATGTCTGTCCGGCTGTGCTCCTGGCAACCCAGATGTTACTGGGTAAGTAAAATGTTTGAATGCTGGTGTGGAAATGAAATATGCCTAATCTTCAGAAAAACCTCAAAGGTAGGACATACGGACTGACTTTGACTTTGCAAAGAATTACTGTTCAGGTGGGACAGGGCAGATAGAAGGTAAGTCTGCTGTGAGGGACTGAATGGATCTTTCTAAATATAAAAATTCAGATAGTTTCCATCCTAAAAGTCCCTTCTGACTGTGAAGCCTTTGCCAACTGCAACCTTAGCTCTTACTTTTCAAATACAGCTTTCTTGGAAGAGCAGTGGAGGCTGCTGGCTCTGCCTCCCGTCCCGGCTCACCCTTCAGTGCTTGCAGCGTGGCCTCCACTGGAGTCTGGTTTACATAGGGTACGGTGACCTCTGAACTAACCAGGTCACTCTACACTTTTCAGTTCTTATCATGATGGATCTCTTTGTCTTGTCTAGCCCTATTGGCTGCTTGTTCTCTCTTGCAGCCTCTGTTTTCCTGACTGTCGTTTACTCTGTTTACTGCTTGGATGTCTTTTGATTCTTCAGTAGCTTTTCTTTGCCTTCTGTAAATTCTAGTGTCCTCTATAGTTAAACCTATCCCCTTTCTCTCTCTCTCTCTCTCTCTCTCTCTCCCTCCCTCCCTCTCACCCTCCCTTCCTCCACAGTTTCCTAATGAGATTGTATGCATGTATGTGTATGTTTTGTCTGCAACACTTGTATTTTAGAGCTTTGGGCATATCTCGAAGCTCTAACTATGCTTTTGACCTTCACATTTGAATATTAACCTTTACACAGACATTTTGACCTGTGTGTGTCACTGGTACCAACACAACATGGCCAGAGATGAGTTCACACATCCTCTCCTCTGGATAGTCACTTCTTTTAATTTACCTTTTATCCGATCTCGGTTCATTGTACTAGCCCTTGGCTGGAAACCCGAGAGGCGTTCTGAACTCTTCCTTTGACATTCTCTGAATCATCAACGTTGGCAAATGTCACCTCCTAACTTGTTTCTTCAACCAGTTCCTTACCCGAACCACCACAAACACTTTCTTAGGACAAGCCTTCATCACATGGGACTGAGCTGTAAAGTGGCGTCCTTACCGACCCTGTCTCAGCCTCACCTCGCAGAATGAATTCTTTCTACATCTAGAGTGACTTCTAAAACTCAAGCTCTTATCATGGCACATGAAACCCCAAACCTGGTACCCACTAAACCTCCTCAGCCTCTTTGGCACCCCCAAAGCTTTCCGATTCCCACTCTAACAAACTCAACCAGCCCACATTTCCATCCACAGCTCAGATTCTTTTTTTTTTTTTTGGTTTTTCGAGACAGGGTTTCTCTGTGTATCTCTGGCTGTCCTGGAACTCACTCTGTAGACCAGGCTGACCTCGAACTCAGAAATCTGCCTGCCTCTGCCTCCCAAGAACTGGGATTAAAGGCGTGTGCCACCACCGCCCGGCCACAGCTCAGATCCTTATCTGCCTCTGAGGCTTGCTTATATTGTTAGCTTCATCTGAAAGGAGCTCTGCCGTGATTCCCCAGCCCCTCCCCCTTTATAAACATCTAAGTATCCTTAAAGACTCCATCTTGATAGCATCTTACAAAAGAAGCCCTGTTGGATCCGCAGTGACTCCTCTGATACTTTGTTAGTATTGCTTCTATCCAAACACTACAGTTATCCTTTCATACGCATGGTCTTCCACTAAACCAATAGCTATTTGTGGGAGGCCCAGGGGTTTTGGTTTTGTAGCAAGAACTGTGGTCTCGTATCACATGTTCTGACTTCAAGCCCCTCTCTCAGTTACTACTTCTGTATCACTTTGAAAAATTCCCTTTCTGTTGAGCATAGGAGCATGTACCTGTAATCTCAGGGCTAAGAAGCCTGAGGCAGGAGGATTGCCTCAAGTTCAAAGTCAGCTCAAGTCACATTGTAAGTACCGGACCATCCAGGGATGCACTACAAAATCCTGTTTTTTGTTTTAGATCACTTTTAATATATCTGAATTTACCTTTCTCTGTTGTAAAAACTAGAATAATACCTTCCATAGAACCATATAAGGTTTATTAAGTAGAAATGCTAGCTAGGCCAACAAGGCTTTAACTTTAACTAACTAACTAACTAACTAACTAAGTAAGTAAGTAACTAACTAACTAACTTTATATGTGTCTGTTTTGGCTGAGGGAATGTCTGTGCACCACATGCATGCCTGATGCCTTTAGAGGTCAGAAGAGAGTATCAGATCCCCTGCAACTAAAGTTCTAGATGGTTGGGAGCCACCATGCGGATGTTTCTGCAAGACCAAGAAGTATTTTGAACAGCTGACCTTGCTCTCCAGCCCCGATGCTTTATTATTTTTTAAGAAACAAAACAAAAGGACACTGAGCACAATCGTCTGATGGTGAAGGAACTGAAAAGAGGTAGAGATAAGAGGGCAGAGCTAAAGAAAACACCGGTATCAAGAAGTGCGAACCAGGAAGTAGACTTGATAGGGAAGTTAAAAAGTCCAAGAGTCAGGGGCACAGGGAGTGGATGAGACAAAGGTGCCCGGGGTGGGGGAGAGTGGAGTGGACAAGTAAACACGTATGGATATGGGGAGAGGTGTTAGCAGGACAAGGAGCAGCCGGCACTGGGAGAAATGAGCTTACCTATCCTGGGTCAGTCGTGGACCTAAGAGAGAGGGTAGAGAAGAGCTGTTCCGTGGTTACTAGTGCAGCCTGACAGTAAAGGGTCACCGGGAGGGGGGGATGTAGAAAGAGCTTTGCCATTGCTAGAGGGAAGTTCAAGGTCAAAGGGCATCAAAGCAAGGGATAATCGAAAAGTGAAGGATTGACTGGCCCGTGGTCGCGCATGCCTTTAATGCTCGCTTTCAGAAGACAGAGGCAGGCATATCTTATAGTTCGAGGACAGCTTGCTCTACACAGCAAGTTCCAGGACAGCCAGAGCTACACAGAGAAACGCTATTTCTAAAAACCAAGAAAAAGAACGACATTTGAAAGGGGAAACAAGGGTGAAGAGAGGCATGGCTACCTCTTTTCTAGACAACATATTTTTTTTGATTGATTATTTTATATATTTACATTTCAAATGTTGTCCTCCTTCCCAGTCTCCCCTCTGCAAACCCCATCCCCTCCCCCCTCCCTTTTGCCTCTAAGAGGGGGCTTGGGCCGTCCCCCCCCACCCCTGTCATCCCTCTTCACTAGGGCAACAGGCCTCCACAGAGCCAAGCACCTCCCCTCCCAAAGATGCCAGATAAGGCAGTCCTCTGCTACATATTAGGAGCCATGGACCCACCCATGTGTACTCTTAGGCTGGTGGTTTAGTCCCTGGGAGCTCTGAGGGGGCCCTGTTAGTTGATATTGTTCTTCCTATGGGGTTGCAATCCCCTTCAGCTCCTTCAGTCCTTCCCCTAGCTCTTCCATTGGGGACCCCAGGCTCAGTCCAATGGTTAGATAACATATTCTGTCCTAAAGAGCCAAGTAGTTTTGGGAAAATGAGAGTCAGGGCAGGATGTCGGCCAGGAGGCTCAGAAGACGGAAATAGATTCTGTTTGTGCTGTGAGGTAAAACAAGCTGTGCTTTTGAACTTACACCTGACATTCTTGCTCCATTCACGATTCTTACGGGAATGTTGTTGCTAGCAATCAAACCCAGGGCCTCTTGCAGGCTAAGCAAATGCTCTACACCCTTGGGCTTGCCTGCCTGCCTGATTTCCTTTTTAAATGTACTTAGGTACATGTGTTGGGTCCATGTTTGTATGTGTGTGGGTGTACATGCACATGTGTACACATGTGGGTCAGAGAACAACATCAAGTGTCCCATTCCTTAGATCTTACTTACCTTTTTACTGTACTTTATTGAGACAAAGTCTTCCATTGGTCTGGGCCTCACTATGTAGCCTAGGATAGCTGGCTGGCTAGCCAGCAACCCCTGGGGATCTTGCCTGTCTTTGCCTGCAATGTGCTGGAGTTACAGGGCTATGTTCGCTCTACCTATGTGTAACCTAAGCAGTTTTCCAACTCTCAATCTCCCAGCCAACACCCAAGTCTTACTTTAAACTCGCTTAAATTTGATTTTTTAGAACTGCTTCTTTAAAATTTATAGGATGGACAATGTTGCGTTGTAGCTTACACCTATGGCCAAGGCAGGAGGATTGTTGCAAGCTCAAGGTCAACCTGGGCTACATAGTGAGTTCCAGGCTGACCTGGACTACAGAGTGTGACCGTGCTCATAAAACATTGTTAGCAATAAAAATTATCAAATGATGGTGAACACACGTATCTGAAAGGCTTGTGAAGATTAAACAGTGCACGAATGTGCCAGCAGTGTGTGACACGCCGTGGATGCTAGAATCTGATGTTCATCTTTTCCTCCTCCTGCTGTCGGGTCATGGCTGTCACTGTCCTCTGGTTTCCTGAACCAACAGCTGGATGTCATGTTGGTGAGTTTACTGTTCCTTCATCTCCCCCTCCCTTTTCCCTAAACCATAGTCTTTTCACTGGGAGGCCTGAATGCCAGTGAGCCGAGGTCAAAGCCATCCTCCTGAAGACCCGTAGGAGTCTCTTAGAGAGGTTTGGTGTCTTCCTCCTCTCTCCTGAGACGATACTCCCCAGGGCAGAAGAGGAGCCCGTGTGGAGGGCCAGTCTTATCCCCTTCTCCTAAGTTGCAGTATCATCTTCTGATTCTCCCTGGGCCATCCCTCCTCAGCTGCCAGTTTGGAGACTCTGAAGTGTGAAGGGCCCATCAGCACTGAGCACAGCAGCTGCCAAGCTGCTGCCGAGGAGGATGAGGGTGATGAAGATGACGAGGACATGACCCACTCCAGTGAAGCTGGCTTCCAGTTCAAGGGCTACGCATTCAGTAAACCTTTCCATCTCATTGTTTCCTATGGTGAGGTCCCATTGTCTCAAGCCACTACCGATAGTCCACTCAGGGAGCTCGCATAGGCAGAAGTACTTAGTCCCTGTCCTCAGCTCTGAGGAGACAAAATGCCCTAGAGTTGTTCTCTCAACACTGGGTCAATCACGAAAGCACAAGGCGGAGTGAGGAAATGTGGTGGGTAATCCCTATCACTAACTTCAATCTCTAAGTAAAATTATTCCCCGGTTACCAGTATACTTTGGGACTAGAGGTCAGGAGTAGAGAGGGAAAGCAGAGAACATTGTCACATGAGTTCTAAGGGGCAGAGAGCAGTGAGGTGGTCTACCAAGAGTTGAAAGTGACCGGGGATGTTTAGGGGATCTGCTATGAGCGTTGCTTGGGGCCTCCTAAGGGATATGGATGATACTGAGCTCTTACTCTGGGCCACAGACTGGCTGATCCTCCAAGGTCCAGCTACATCGATATTTGAAGGAGACACACTGGTTCTACACTGCCGTGCCTGGCAAGACTGGCCACTCACTCAGGTCATCTTCTACCGAGAGGGCTCAGCCCTGGGTCCTCCCGGACCTAAAAGAGAATTCTCTATCACTGCCGTGCAGAAGTCAGACAGTGGACACTACCACTGTAGTGGCATCTTCAGGAGCCCTGGTCCTGGGAGCCGAGAGATCGCATCCCCTGTGGCTATCACCGTCCAAGGTGAGAGTCTGAGGGAGTGTTGCTGTGGTAGATTTGGGTAAGAAGGAATAGAGAGCCCAGAAGCATTCAGATCTATGCTTTCTGAGGTTCACAGATCCAGAGCCTGGATTGATGTCAGATGTGCTTATCTGTGGATCTTTTCTAGCCCCTGCCTAGAAGGGAAAGAAACAGGAAGAGAAGGGAGGAGGGAGGGAAGGAGGAGGAAGAGGGGGAAGAAATAAGAAGGAAAGAAGAAGGGAAAGAAGGGAGGAGGAGGAGGAAGAGGAGGAAGAGGAGGAAGAAGTTGAAAAGTTCAAATGGGACCTTCCTAAAAAGAACCCATACCTAATGGAACCAGAGGAAACTATGGGCGAGGGACGTTACGGGTCTGGTGAGTACAGAATGGTTGACCTCTTCTTCACTGCTTGTCTTTTTCCTAGAGTTGTTTGCAGCCCCAGTTCTCAAAGCCTTACCTTCTAGTGAGCCTCAAGAGGGAGGCTCAGTGACCCTGAGCTGTCAGACAAATCTGTCCTTGCAGAGGTCAGCCTCCCGCCTCCTCTTCTCCTTCTACAAGGATGGAAGGTCACTGAGTATCAGAGGAGTCTCTTCAGAACTCCAGATTCCCAAAGCCTCAGAAGAACACTCTGGCTCCTACTGGTGCGAGGCAGCAACTGAGGACAGGCAAATTTCGAAGCAGAGCCCAGAGCTGGAGATCTGGGTAGAGGGTGAGTTAATGTGTATGTGTGTCTGTGGGTGTGTGTATGACACAAGACTGGGTTTATCAACCAAAATCTGGAGGAAGGAAGTGAATAGTGGATGCAGAAGAGACAGGGCAATAATTCAAAGTCCTTGAAGGTGGCAGAGAGTTCAGAAAGAGAATGTCTTCCTTGGACTGTGGAATCTACCAAACCAAGATCTAAGCTGGCCCCTCTTGTATCTTCCTATAGAATACAGGATTCCTATGTGATCTGAACATTTATGCAAGCATCATACCTAGAATGCAGATAATATGTAGAAAGGGCCAGTCAGGATTGCACAGTGAGACCTCATCTCAAACAAGCAAGCAGCCTCTAGAAAGAGTAAAATGTATGTCAAATTCTAGAAGTTACCATTAGGAAAGCCGTGTTTGACTTGACACGCACCTAGGAGTCACCTAGGCTGATGAGAAAGCTTGAAGACATGTCGTATGAAAGTAGTGGGGGAGAATCGTGATAATCATCTCGAAGGAAGGATGCCACAGTGACCCATGCTGAGGGAGACTGAAGCAAAGATGAACAACTAACACATGTGCGCGTGCGTGTGCAAGCGTGCACACACACACACACAAGAAAAGGCTGACCACGGAGTGTACTTCCAGAAATTAAATTCTGCCTTGAAAGAGAACAAATTGTAGCGATGAGGCTTCCACACTAAAGCTTCTCAAGCAGAGACAGTCAAACCTCAGACTGAAGCTCGCATGAGGAAGGGCATAAGAGTTTTCACGTCCTAGCTGCCAGTGAGTATCACGGCCACTTTAAGAAAAGAAGAAAGATTGGTTCTGTAACCAAATACAGTGGATCCACATGTTGTCGAGTTCAATACCAAAACAAGCAGAGGCAAGTGTAATAGGGTTTCTATTGCTGTGAAGAGACACCATGATTATGGCAACTCTTATAAAGGCAAATCATTTTATTGGGGCTAGCTTACAGTTCAGAGTTCGTTGTTGTCATGGCAGGAAACATGGCAGACATAACGGTGAGGAGGAGCCGAGCATTCTACATTTCCATCATCAGGCATCAGGCATCAGGAAGAGAACAGGCTTGAGCTTCTGAGCCCTCCAAGCCTGTCCCTACAGTGCCACATTTCCTCCAACAAGGCCACACCTCCTAGTAGTGCCATTCCCTATTGGCCTATGGGAGCTATTTTACTCAAACCACCACACAAAGGCTTACAAAAGTGAGGAAAAATTTGCTTTTAATGTCAGGCAAGAAGAGTACAGGTGTTATTTCCAAAGCAAGACTCTCCCTCTTCAAGTAAAGAAAGCATGGGAGGTTTATTCAGCTCCCATGGGAGATTTATACATTCACTCATGTAAAGGTTGGTTCATTCTTAAACATTCTCAGTTAAACAGTGCATTCTGAGCATGCTCAGTTTAAACTCCCGGGTTAAGAAAAGATAGTAGATATGTTTGGGGGTGTGCTTGAAACATTAAAGTGGTAGGCAGGAATACCTCTGGGTATACTGAGTTTGCATTCTAGAATTTTAGCTGAAATAAAGGAAGGAAGATTTTGAAGAAACATTCATACAGGTGCTTGCCCTGAAGTAGCCTGCCTCACTTAGTAGCTAACAGTGTGGGAACCAGAGTCAGGCATCATTTTATTTTTCAGTTTTTAAGATAAGATCTTACTTTGTGTCCTTGGCTGACCTATGGCTCACTATGTAGACCAGGCTGGGCTTGAACTTGCAATGTTCCTTCTGCCTTGGCCTCCTGAGCACTGGGATTACAGATGTGCACCACCATGACCAGACAGATTTGACTTGAATGTGCTTCCTGCCCGTAATTCAGGGCCCTTAAATTCTGCTTATTCTTCCATCTTGAATCCAGCTCTTCAGAAACCAACTGCTTCAGAAACTCCTCCTACAGAAGCTCCTGGTCCTCTGCCTTCATCACCTGGTCCTTCTTCTGAGCAGCCAAGATTCTTCTCCTCAGACCCTCACCTTCATCACCAGATAAACCTTCTTCTCAAACAAATGCAAGATGTAAGAGTCCTCCTTGGTCATGTGGTTATGGAGCTGAGGGACTTGTCTGTCTACCTGAAGCCTGGTGCCACAAAGGTTGCTGACAAATGAAAGCAAGCTGTTCATCTGTGATTTGTTCCAGCACCACAATAATTCCAGCTCTTTCTGTACCACACATATGCAGGCAGTATTGCAAGAGGGTTTGATACTTAGATAGAACAACAGAACTGTTTGAGTGTAAATAAATGCATACAGGGTTATACCCAGAGTTTGCCTATAATTATATTTTCTTCAAGCTTGACAAGGTCATTCTGTGTCCTAGACCAGGAATTTCTTTTAGTTGCCCAGAACAGAATTGAAAGAAAAGCAAAAGAAGTGGATTTTGTACTGCAGTATCAGCTGGGGGCAATTTCTCTTCCTTATATTCCCACAGGAAACATTAGCAATGTCTCCTAGACATTTGGGTTTACACAGGATGGGAAGGATGAGACTAGAATTCAATAAGTTAAGGCATTTATAAGCCAAGGAAGCTGATGACCATCCTATAATGCATAGGACAACCCTTTCCCCAATAAAAAAACTTCCTGTCCCAAATTTTATTAATGTTAAAGTTATGAAACGTGAGGCTAATAAAAGCTAGGTGTTGGGCTGGAGAGATGGCTCAGTGGTTAAGAGCACTGACTGCACTTCCAGAGGTCCTGAGTTCAAATCCCAGCAACCACATGGTGGCTCACAACCATCTGTAATGAGATCTGATGCCCTCTTCTGGTGTGTCTGAAGACAGCGACAGTGTATTCATGTATAATAAATAAATAAATCTTTAAAAAAAAAAGCTAGGTGTTAATTTGAGACTTCATCTCTTTTAATTACTCTCCCTCAACAATTATTAATTACATGCTAATGTTTAATTAATCATGTGGTTTAGATTTTTATAGGCCTTCTCCTCCATGTACCTATGCAGAAATTAATTTTTTATGTACATGTATGTGTATAAGTCCTGTGGAGGCCAGAAGATGACATCAGATCCCCTGGAGCTGGAGTTCAAGGCATTTCTAAGCTGCACAATATGGGTGCTGGGAATTGAACTCCTATTCTGTGGAAGAATAACAAGCACTCTTAGTCTCTGAGCTATCTTTCAGTGGCTCTACCGCTCATGTTGAATTTTTTTTAATTCTAATTTTTTTTAATTTTTTAATTTTTTTTTGAAACAGGGTTTCTCTGTATAGACCTGGCTCTCCTGAAACTCACTCTGTAGACCAGGCTGGCCTTGAACTCAGAAATCTGCCTGCCTCTGCCTTCCAAATGATGGAATTAAAGGCATGTGCTACCACAGCCCGGCTCATGTTGAAATATTAATCCCTAAGGTGACAGCATGAGCAAATGGAGCCTTTGGGAGGTGTTTAGGTAATGCGAACAGAGGTCTCAGAATTAGGATCAAAGCCTGTATAAAAGAAAGCCCCAAAGCTTGTGAATCCATTGCTTTCAAACACTCTGACCAAAATGAATGACAGAAACAACTTAAGGAGGAATGGAAACTGTCTCACAGTTTCAGAGGGTTTCTGTCCATCATGGCAGGGGAGCATAGCAGCAAGACTCAGCCCCAGTGATAAGAGTGTGTGTACACATCATGGTAGGCAAGAAAGAAAGAAAGAACCATGGCCAGAACCAGAGCAGGTATAGCCTTCACAGGCCTACCCTCAGTGATTTAATCCTGCCAACTAGGCTCTTCCTAAAGCTCCACAGCTGTCAAAACTGTGTTGAATCTATGCACCAAATATTCAAAAGATGAATTCTAACATTTCATCCCAAGCCACTGTAGTTTTAACAAACTCAACACTATTAAAAACAACAACAAAAAAAACCTCTCAAGTCTCTTTTCTACTGCTGCGATAATATACCATGAGAAAGGCAACTTCCAGAAGTGTGGTGGTTTGAATAGAAATGGCTCCCACAGACTCCTGTACTTGAATGTGTGGCTTATAAGGAATGGCACTATTAGGAGGTGTGGACTTGTTGGAGAAAGTATGTCACTATGGGGGTGGGCTTTGAGGTCTCATATATGCTCAAGCTATGCCCAGGGTGGTACACAATCTCCTCCTGCTGCCTGGGAATCAAGATGTAGAACGTTCAGCTCCTTCTCCAGCACTGTGTCTGCCTGGCTGCTGCCACATTTCCCACTATGATGATTAGGGATTGAACCTCTGAAACTGTTAGTCAGCCCCAGTTAAATGTTGCTGTGGCCATGGTGTCTCTTCCCGGCAATAACACCCTAACTATGACAAGAAGAAAGAGGTTATTTGGGGCTTCTGGTTCTAGAGGAGTAAGAATGCACCACTATCATGGCAGAGAAGCATGGCCGCAAGCACCAAGCATAGCTGCAGGAATAGCTGAGAGTTCGTGCAGGAGACAAAGACAATGAACTCAAAATGTCATGATTCTTTTGGGCCTCAAAGCCTGCCCCCAGTGACATACTTCCTCCATCAAGGCCACATCTCCTAAGTCTCCCCAAAATAATCACTAACTGGGGACCCGGTATTCAAATGCCCAGACTAAGGGGACCATCTCCTTTAAACCAGCACACTCTACGTCCAACATCCAGGGCATATAGAGTGATGATGTGCGCCTCAGTGGGCTGGGGCGGCCCTGCCCCTGTGACCCTGATTCTTGCAGCACACATGTGCTCTCTCTTTGTCCAATTCCACTCGGCGGGGGCTTGCAGCTTTTCTTGGTAGCTGTATCTCCAATGTCCTGAGGTCTCCATTACAATCAGGCTTCACCCTCACAGATGTACAAGTACTCCCCTCAGGGGAGTCTGCAGAGCATCTGACCGCACATCGTATGTAGGTATTGCCTTGCTTCACAGGGTCCAAGCCATCAAGATTCCTGTAACAGCATGCTTGCAGAAACAGCACCATGTAGACAACACCAAGATGCTGCTGACAGCTGGAAGGTAGCAAGGCTTCCTTTTTCCATGTTTGCAGCAGGCAACTCAATCTATAATAACCCTTCCTTGCATAGTCCTTTCCAGCAGGGCTCCTAGGAACTTCTCTCTTTTAGGCCCCTTTTCTTCAGGCACTGGGAGAAATTTCTCCCTACAGCATCTTCTCTATTATCTCAGGGCAGTTTGTTTGCCTTCTCGTTAGTGATGCTGAGACAAGTTGTAAGGCCTGCAGCCTCCTATCTCGAACTTACATCCCTACAGCTTTAATTACATTCACACTCCTTTGTTCTAGGCTTGGATTACTATTCTCCATTCTCAAATGAGGAGAGCTAGCCTGACGAGTTATGCAATAGCCTTGCTTAATGTAATCTTTGGTTGATTTAGCACACGATGTTATTATAGCCTTAGTGAATGGAGAATACTCACACCATCCTGAATTATGTAGTGTTGTATTCCCACTGTGGCCTCTCTTTGTGCTACTTATTCTGCATGTTGCAGCCTGAAATAATTTACAAATGTATACATGATGATTTTAGATATACTACAGAGAAACAAAGGAAGAAGATCACACTGATGGTAAGTAAAGTTTAGCATCTTCAAGGATGGTTTTGAATCAACTAAGAGCCCTGCTTCTGGGTAGATCTGTGAGGAGATTCCCAGGGACGATCTGAAGGTAGAAGATGTAAGGACTATGTGCCAATTTATTTTTTTAAGGTTGAACATATAGAAGATGGAGAAATGGTTCAGTGGTTAAGAGCACTGGCTGCTCTTCCAGGGGATCTAGGTTCAATTCCCAGCACCCACATGGTGGCTCACAACCACCTATAACTCCAGTTCCAGGGGATCTGACACCCTCTTTTAGCCTCTGCAAGTACTAGGCATGCACATGGTGTGCAGCCATACATGCAGACAACACTTACACACACACACACACACACACACACACACACAAATAGAATAAATACATACAGACATATGCACATATAGAGGAACATATATTAAACATTGTAAAGTAGGTGCTGATGTTTCCAGGAGAAGAAAGGTCATGTGGATAAGGATAGGAAATAAGGAAATGAGAGAGGAGACAGAGTCTCCCCTGAGAGGCATAGTCATGTATCCCCAATGAGAGATGGACTCGAGAACAGACTTGAGTGAGGCTCCTTCTCGAGCATCCCTGGGGTTTCTGTGACCTCAGTTTCCTCACATGTAAAACAGAACCAGCGATAATTCCTCCCTGGAGGTCCCCTGTGAGAAATGAATGATGTAATTGTCCCTGTCTGTGAAGGATACCTGCCATACACTGGTGCACTCACCGTAAGTGAGCTGGTCTCATTGTACCACATTGTCCCTGAGAACATTCTACTTACCACAGTCCTTATCATATGACGTTGTGTCTTGCCAGGACATTCTGTTGTGACAGATTTCAAAGACTTCAAAAAGTTACCCAAACCTACTGTGGTGGTGCATGCTGTTGTCCCAGCATGTGGTGGGCTGAGGAAATGAGAAATACTTTAGCTCATTTTAGAGTTTGAGACTAGGGTGTGTAGGATCACAAACCCTTAAAAAGGAAAAACAAAACCCTAAGTGATTTACATACTTTCCAAACTTGTCTGCATATTAAAGGCCTTGGCAATGTACAAAGGAGCGAAGAGTTAAAATCCTATGGGAAGGGTCCTGCGTAGAGAAAAAAAAGACGCACTTGTGAAAAGTTCAGATGAAAAGTGTGTAATGAACAGGTGTTGGGCAGGATGCTCTTCAGGTCCAGTTCCAAGCATTTGTATGGCGGCGAATGAGCTCCGAGGCTGATTCCTATAAGTTCAAGAAAGACTACACAGCTCATGAATTTTTAATGTGATCGGGTTTCTTCTGGAATCCAGTAAAGGGACTGAGATCTTTGTTCTGACTCATGAGAAGCCAAAATAGTCTGCTTGTGAAGACTCTGCAGACTTTTACTGTAGAGGTAGTGGGCTGTGCAGAAGTCAGACCATGGGGACAGGTTGTGGTTCATGTGAGGAATCCCACACTGGTCCCAAGATGGGGAGGCAGGCAGGGCTCAGGGAAGCATAGGAGCGGCGCCTAAATGGGGCATTCATCTCTGCTCTACTCGGTCCCTTCCCCCACTCTTGTTCACCTTACTGGATACTTTCCTACCTCTCAGACCTACATTCTCTCCCTCTCCCTCTCTCCTTCTCCCTCTCCACTTTCCCTACCCCTTCTCTCTGTCTCCTCTTCCTCTCCCTCTCCCCCTTTCCCTTCTCCCCATCAGATCATGCTCCCAAAGCAAGATTCAAAAAGGTCAGCATGATTTAAAAAACTGGCCATATTTTCCCAGAGGCATTTGTATTTCCAAATACAAATATGAGGGAATTCTCAGAGGAAAACCTGGTGCATCAGCAAAATTGGGGGATGCGATCTTGGAGAGCTGACTGTATCTGATCCCTGATCTCCTTCCTGCTAGAATTCCAAGGAAGGCAGGTGTCCTGGTTCTAAACAGCCACCACCACAGACAGGGTAGAGCTCGGGGAGACATACTATCAGGCTGGAAACTTCGTTAAATATTTACTTGAAACTCAGGCTCTTCATTGCTCAGGTGTGGTCACGTGGCTCACAGAAGCAGAGCAGAGAGGTCGGATTTGAGAAGCCTCTGAGGGGCTCATGCAGTCAGTGACCTCCCTCCCAGGCCATGAGCCCTGGGGACTAGGACGTAACTGGAGAAGGGTATTAGGGTCTGGTGGAAGGTGAGAAGAAAGGAGAAATCGAGTGGAGGTACCATAGCGTGAGATCACTGTGAGTGGGGAGGGAAGAAGTGTTTCAGATTCGGGAAGGGAGGAGAAGAAAATACTTTAGACTTCTGTTTTTGACTTGGGGAACAACAGGTCAGCAGGAGCATGGCAGGATGGGTGAATCACGCCTTCTGTCTACTCCTGTGTGGGAGGATGTGAACTCTGCTTCAGGGAACACACAATCACCTCTCTAAGCCCTGCATCAAGAATACCTGCCATCAGGGATGAAGCAGGAATAAGATGGGCTTGAACATCAGCGAGACTGGTTGGTGTGGAAAGGATGTAGTGGGCGTGGAATATTGATGGCGCCTGTTGGATCCTGGGGACTCTATGTGGCTTCTGTGAGCTGTGCAAGGCTCAGCTCTATAGGGCTTTTCTATAGAAGCCAAGGCTGGCCTGAGCCAGGACGTGGCTACAGAGGAGTAGATAGGACCGTGCTTGATGTTTGGGGTAGGTGAGTAACACATTCAGGCAACATCCTGGTCTCTGTATTCCACTATCTTGAGGAAGTGGGAATGGGCAGAAGAAGCAACAGTGTTTCTTAGTTCTCAATGTCAGCTACTACCTACCTTTGTTCTCTCTGCCCCTCCTCCATGCCTCCAGCTTCTACAGAGTCTGCAGGCAGACTCATCATGTGGACACTTATAGCCCTCCTGCTTCTGGGTGAGTTAGTAATGAGGGGGCATCAGCAGGATTTGGGGAGGGGGAGGGTAAGACAGGGCAGGGTATGTGGGATAATAGAGCAGCTGGCTTTGTCCACCTCAGGTTTCACATTGTTCACTGTCTGCCTTGGAATGATGAAATGGGGCTAGTTTTCTCAAAGCTGGGTAACTTGGTTTAGACAAAGGAAAATAGGCTCTGAGACTCCTTGGGTTTTCCTGGGATCAAGTCTTTCCCAGCATAGAGGACACTCCTCACCCTCTTCTTTCCTTCTTGCTTTGCAGTTCCAAGCAGCGGAAAAGCTGGTAAGTCTTACACATCTCTCGTCCAAGTTTTGATGAGTTCCACGAGGGTAGATGCCCCAGTTCCTGGCTGTTCTGAGATGATATTTTCCCCCCTAATCTTGTGCAATCTTGATGACTAAGTGTTCTTGATCATAGACACTGTCAGAAATGGCTTATGATGAATAGACCTCTTGTTTGGAACCTCGTGTCTGTGGTCTCCCTCATTGGCAGGGCGAGTTCCTGTGTGGGCTGGGACCCAGAAACTGGTGTTTTCCAACAATTCCCAATCCTGGGACTTTATTTTTGGGTAGGCACCTCATCTTACTTTACTTCCTCACACGGCCCCATCCCCCACACCCCCAGCTACTCTGGAGAAGCCTGTACTGTCTCTACACCCACCTTGGACCACCATCTTCAAGGGGGAGCGAGTAACCCTGAGATGTGATGGGTACCACCCTCTGCTGCTGGAGCTCCGGCCCATTAGCACGCTCTGGTACCTGGGCCATGTTCTCCTGCCTTCCCACAAGAAGAGCATTGAGGTGCAGGCACCAGGGGTATACCGATGTCAGACACGAGGAGCACCTGTCAGTGACCCCATCCACCTCTCTGTGTCTAACGGTGAGTGCTGGCCCTGCTGGCAGGGTAGACACCAGGCTATTCCCAAAGGACAAGAAAATGTCACATAGAACTACCTTGAGTTTTTGGAGTAGTAGGCAGAGGCCTGAAGTGACGATTTCCTGGTTCAAAAGCCACCCCCCCCATCTTCCTGACGGAACATGAAGCAAATTAATATTATTAATATGTTAGGTAGGGTGACCCAATTTCAGAAAGTAAAAAATTACACTCTCTCCACACTACTGGAATCCAGAATCCTGTTTTCTTCTTCTTCTTCTCCTTCTCCTTCT